TAGTCGCATGTATACCTCTTCTTCTAACTCTCCATGTAGGAAGGCATTTTTTACATCCATTTGATGTAGAGACCAGTTTGAATTGATAGCCACCGAAAGAAGCACTCTAACTGTGTTCATCTTTGCCACAGGGGCAAAGGTTTCTTTGTAATCTACTCCGAAGGTTTGTGTGAAGCCTCTTGCAACTAACCTTGCCTTGTGCCGCTCTATGTTTCCATCTGAGTGAAATTTGGTCTTATAAATCCATCTTGCCCCAACCACACGTTGACCTTTTGGCAGAGAAACAATGCTCCAAGTTTGATTTTCATCAAGTGCCTTCAGTTCTTCAAGCATGCTCCATACAGGAGATTGGTGTGCCTTTTCGAATGATCGAGGCTCAGAATTTTGGGATAACTTGGTCACAAAGACAACATGAGATGGAGAACTCTTGCTATGAAAAACCATTTGTCCAATAGGATGTCTAGGCGTGTAGATTTCAAAATCATCAAGCCTGGCTGGAGGTTGTCTGTTTCGAGAAGGATTCCTTCGTGGAGGAGGAGGTTATTCAAGTTGAGGCTCTCTCCTTTCGAGAATGACTTCTTCATTATCTGCTTCCATACTTTCAGGAGCTGACTCTATCTCAACAGCTTCATTTTGCGGTGTTGACAGCCTTGTATCATCAAGGAAGAGAGGGGTAGGAAACACTTCATATGAGAGCTCCCCCTGAGGTTCATCATCATGCATTTGAAAGAATGAGTGAGTTTCATCAAAACGCACATCCCTGGATACACATACCTTTCTGGTATTAGAGTCGTAGCATTTGTATCCCTTTTGGGAAGTTGAGTAACCTACGAATGCACATTTGATAGCCCTTGGATCAAGTTTATCTCGGTGAATAGTTTGAATGTGCACATAGCATACACATCCAAACACACGGGGATGACTTATGTCAATTTCTCTCCCCTTGAGAATTTGGTAAGGAGATTTGAACTTCAAGATTCTACTAGGAAGGCGATTGATGATGTATGCAGCGGTTTGTATAGCTTGAGACCAGAACTTCTTTGGAACTTTTGCTTGTAACATTAGTGATCGTGTTTTTTCAAGCAAATCTCGGTTCTTTCTTTCTGAAATGCCATTTTGTTGTGGCGTTCTTACACAACTTGTTTGTTGCAAAATTCCATGCTCACTTAAGTAAGTTGTCATGATTTTGGAAGTGTACTCAGACCCATTATCAGACCTTAAGATGCCAATTTTAGAGTTAAAATGATTTTGAATTAATTTATGAAAATTTTTGAAACACTGGAAAGCTTCATGCTTGAATTTAAGTAAATACACAAAAGTAGTTCTAGAGAAATCATCAATGAACGATATGTAAAATCTGTAACCATCAAAGGACTCTAAGGTGGCAGGTCCCCAAATGTCAGAATGGACTATTTCAAAGGCTTTGGTAGCTCTAGAGAGAGAGCGGGGAAAGGGTAACCTGGTGAACTTAGATTTTTGACAAACTTCACAATCTGGAATCACTATACAGAAACTAGGAAAAAGAAAAGACATAACATGTGAAGAAGGGTGAGCTAATCTCATGTGCCATAGCTGCTCCTTGTTTACAGTGCTTGAGTTTACGCAGAAACTTTTTGGGAAACTTGAAGAGAATTTGACATAGTACAGTCCATTGAGGAAGAACCCTTTACCAATCGTTTCCTTCGAAACTTGGTCCTGGAAAATCACATAGTGAGTTGAAAAAATTGCAAGACAATTTAGCAAATGTGTTATTTTTCCTACTGACAATAGTTTGAAAGGAAAAGAAGGGACATGCATGACAAGGGATTCTTTTTGACTCGAGAAGATTTTGAGTTTCCCTCTGCTTACTATACGAACTTTGGTGCCATTAGCTACGAAGACAAAAGAAGGAGTGGAAAAGTTTTGAAAATCATTTAGTAAAGATGCATCGTTAGTCATGTGATCTGAAGCTCCTGAGTCAACTATCCAAAAATCACAACTACTACTAAGATCCAAAGCAGTGGAGATAGTTGCAATAATACCTGGCATGTCATTTTGTGACACTGAGTTTGATTGTTCGAGGAAGCCAGCAAACTTGTCGAGCATGGCTGAAGGAGTTTCATGATTTGTTGCTCCTTGTTTCTGTTGCAAGAAGTTAGCGAATTCATTTATGAGAGCAATGGGACTAGAGGAAGAGTTTATCACATTATTTGAGACATTGTCGCAAACAAGATTTCCTCTAGGAGTGTAGGCAGGCTTCATTTGGTTTCTTGGTGCTCTTCCATCGTCATTGAACTTAGGTTTAAGTTCTGGATAAAGAATCCAGCACTTCTCTTTTATGTGTCCAATACCTGTACGACCTATCTTCACACAGTGAGAACACTTTAAGTCTGGTCGTTTTCCCTTGTATGGTCTGGAGAAAGTGAAGGCTCTTGCTTCTGATGGCCTAAAATTTGATTCTCCAATGACCATGTCTGCGTTCATGACCTTCTTTCTTACTTCTTCACGTTGAATAACGTTGCAGACCATCTGTAAAGTGGGAAGTTCAGGTGTCATTAAGAGATGGCTTCTAAGGTCTTCATAATCTGGTCCAATGCTGGCAAGCAACTGGAACACTTTGTCTTCTTCAGCACGCTTTAAAAGAATGGTTGTGTCCGTGGTATGAGGTCTGTAGAGATCCAATTCATTCCATTTGGCCTTCAAGTTGCCAAGATGTTGAACAAAAGAGAGATTTCCCTGTTGTAATTCCGTAAGATCTTTCTTCAGCTGAAAGACTCGCACATCATTGTTTAGATCTCCATACATGTCTCGTACGGAATTCCAAAGTTGGTGAGATGATACTGAGTAGCTGAAAATCTCAGCCATCTTTGGTTCCATAGAGTTTAACAGCCAAGACATGATAAGTTGATCTTGGGATACCCATGCTGCATAATCCGGTGCAGTTATTTCGGGGATGATGTCATCCTTTTGAATGAATGGGAGATTTCCACGTCCTCCAAGAGCGAGAGAAATAGCTCGTGACCAGGGCAGGTAGTTGAATTCGTTTAGAAGCACAGAGCTCAAACGTTGAATTGGATTGGTATCCATGGTTTCGTTTTTTGAAGTTTTTTCTGCTGGTATGGCCATAATGGCTCAACTGGTTTGGATTTGGTGGGTTTTTTGGAAGAACACAGAAGCAGGTCCAAGAGGAATCACTGCTCTGATACCATATGGACAATTTTAAGTATATATCATGTATAAAATAGTTTACAACATCAACCATAAATAGGAGAGGAATACAAGAAAGAAAGTGGAGGAATGGTGCGGACAGGGATGGCAGCTCAGCAAGCATGAGTGAAGACCTGACCTCCACTATCTCTAACTTAAACTAATACCTAGCTTTACATGATGAGGGAATATTGCTCTTAAATAAGCCTAAAGTAAACAAACAAGCAGCTAACCCTAGCCGAAAGTAAGATGACAATGAGTTGTTATCCATCACCAACTAAACAATGACAACTAGACAAACCCTACCACCAATAATAATAGATACTTCAATAGAAACTTCCTTACCAAAGTGTTATTTTCCGTTCTTCTTAATTATTTTTCTCCTCTCATGAGAGTTGAGAGCAGAATATATAAAAGTATTTTCTTTTAACCATAGGGTGTGTAATTGAACTCCACAATATATAGAAGTGGTTGGTACTTATAAATTGTGTATTCGATAAAATGGTATGAACAATATTACATATTAAGATCAATTTCTGGTTGATCATATCCAATTTTGAAGTTGGACCCCTACTCATTTTGTAGAGAAAGTGGTCCCTGTAAACCAGATGAGTTAGGATTATAGGTAGTGATATTCAAAACCCTTTTTTATCTTCCACACAGAGAAGATATTTCATATATAAAGTAATATTTGGTATAAATTTAGTATATTATATCTAATTATATTCCATTATATCATTATCTTTTTAATCTTGTAGACCTATCTTGGTGTTTATCCAAACTAAACGGAACATAGCTAAGATACCAAACCCCATTTTTGTAGTAAAACGACGCGTCTCATCATGAATGTTAGGTCAGATTGAGTCTTTCTTCCACGCGGAGTAAGTTGGGCGCTTCTGCAACCAAGCGGCAGCCGTGACCCCATTTTTCTCCGATCAATATTAGCTAATTTACCTTGTGTTTGGGCATCCAAATCATGAAAATTTCGGACAGCGGCCCAGCCTTCATTCAAGCATTTTGTCAAACAATTTTCATGCAGGCTAAGAGGGGCGGCTGCCGCTCCTTGTCCTGCTGTAGTTTCGCATGTGGCCCCACCCTTCAAATAAATTGAAGATTACAATTCCTCTAACGTAACAAAAAAATATACAACCTGAACAGGGCTAACATTTGATCGAAATCAGATTAGGTAATTTAGGTATGTTTTGCCTTCATACATATCTTCTAGTATATTCCGAAGTTTATTTTGGGCCATCAACAAATTAAAAAGATAATTTCCTTCTTGGCATTTTTATGTTTCAAGGTTCAAACTGAGAGTGATTAATAATTGGGTTGTGTTATTCACACATTTTTTTAATCTTCTATACATCCTCTGCTAATTTTAGTTAATTAAATAATAATCTTCAATTCTTCCAATTCGAAACAAAAATTGAGTAGAGTGTTGAAAAGTTAAAAAAGAAAAGGGGTGTGCGTAGCCACACCCTTTCATATTTTGCACGCAACTGAAGACATGATCAAATATGTTTGGTAAGATCTGTCGTCATTAGTGTCCAAAACAAGCGTATTAACTTAAGTCATTAACAATAAACTAAGTACAGAAAGCAAACTGCGTTGAATTAATTTTTATTTTAATTATTAAGCAACTGTTGCGTCAGTAAGTGCACGTTGTTTCTTATATTTGATCAAATACGTACTATTTTATTTGGTTTAATTAATTAAAACTAAGATGGTCTTCAAGCATGCAGAAGGAAGCATAAACAAATGCAAACAACTCAACTTGATTAACTGTGAATGTATAAAATATATCAGCGTGAATATATAAATATATATCATCAACTACTTTTTCTACTGTTGCATGTTGCAAATAGCATGCACAACATACTATATAATTACAGATTAAGAATAAACCTAAAGAAAATTTTGTTACGTTCCATAACTAATTTACTTTAATTAAAATTACCACCTGTAAACTTTATGGTCACTGGGGTTTTGCAGCTTCTCATCATCCGATTTTCTTGAGGCCTGCTAAGATCAAAATTTTCATATAAACAAGGTGAACGTATTTATGCGATACAATTATTGTTATGTTACGTCACGTTTGATGTCTAAAATTGGATTGGATATATTAACTCACTCGATGCGAGGATGGACAGCTGCGAACCGGGCCTGCGGATGCATGCAGGGCAGGTCTTATAAAAGATTGTCGATTATATGGATAAATCGGAGACCCGGTTGCAGGAGTGCTGTATGTAGACAGTGGAGACGGCTCTGGAGTTCTCCAATAAATCGGAGACGCAGTTTTTCTTGGAGATTTTGGGGCTGATGACCTTCTTGAATATGGCAGGAGGGGAGACCCGGCTGCAGGAGTGCTGTATGAAGACAGTGGAGACTGCTGTGGAGTTCTCCAATAAATTAGAGGCGCAGATTTTCTTGGAGATTTTGAGGGTGATGATCTTCCTGAAAATGGTAGGAGGTTGATTTTGATTCTGTGGATTAAACAAAAACAAAGCAAATAGTCAGATCAAATATAATTAATGCTCATTAAATTTCGCTCTAATTTTTGTAACAGACATGTGGAGTTTACGTAGAAAACAAGAAAATTTCCACCACTCACTTCTTGTGAACATCGACATATTCATCTGTTTCATCCAGTATATCTTCCTTGAAGACAGAATAAATAGACTAGTTAGTTCAACTTTCAAACGTATATCGACATGAAAAAACATATACTAACTTGGGTACCTGCAGCAGTTCCTCCATAACATCCTCCATTGTTATGATACCAATAACCTCCTCGTCCATGCAACTTTGAACAGATTCAATAATTTCAGATGATACATTTTGCGTCCGCAATCCTTGCCTCTGTTGCGTATTTTGTGTCTCCAACTCTTGTGCTTCCTCCACAACATGCTTTGATGCAGGAATACTGTATGCAGTTTCACTTGAACATAGAGGTGATGACATGTCCTCGGAAGTGCTCAGACGCTCTTGCTCTTGTGGAAAAATTAATCCTGTAGAATCGCGCTCAACAACCAAGAATTCTACTAGTCTAAAAACATTTTTTTTACCAAAAACTTGATTTTCAGTATAATGTAACATTACCTCCACTCCCTGCTAGTTTTGAATTAATATCCTTGTTACTCTTCACCACAGCAACCATATGACTATGACCTTTCTTGAACTGATGCAGTATATCGTATAAAGGCCAATCCTCATAGACCCTGTTACAGATTATGTACAGAATTACGTTAACAAACACTAGTTTTGGTTTTGCCTAAAACCTGTGTTAGCATTGTAACCGGAAAAAAAGAACTTTGTGTTAGCATGAAGCCAATTGCCAGTTTTGATAAGGAAACACTCATACACTACCTTGGAATCTTTCTGATAGTCCAGTATTTAATTGTCTTTTTGTCCTCAGGACGGATGAAGACCAAGTTCTTCAACTAGTACATTCCGAGAAAACGTGAAATTGGTTACACGAGGATGAAAGGTAGCCTTAAGAAAATAGTAAACAATGAGGCCTGCTTACCAGAATGAGGCCAATAATGTTTGTTGGGGTTCCGGAGTAGATAGGTATACGACTGTGACCTTTGCTCGCTATTAAACCAAGTGTATTCCTAAAGATCCATGGACAAAAACACATCAAAATGACATAGCACTCAAACGTAATTAAAGATAATTTAATTTTGGGATGAACAGATTCAATTGACCATCGTAACATACTTGTCGAGTTTTGAATTGATATCAAGAGAGAAAGTCTGAGATATGGGAGTCATTGCATCTTTAGCAGTCTTGAAAGTCAAATCCAGAGCACCACCAATAATCATCGTTTCGTGATGCGATAACTCTCCACCTTTCCCAGCCTAGTAATGAACAAGATCACAGTATTTAGACTTTTGACACGGTATGCATAGACGGTTAACATTTAACAAGAATCTCTAGCAAATTTACCTCATTGGCATGCAGATCCACCAATGTTTTTAGCTCTGCTCGTCTTAAGAGCGCCGAATGCCCTTTGCCAAGGAGGCAATCCAGCAGCTGCCATGGTCAATTTCCAAACACGAAAAAGTCTTAATCTGTGCAGTTTATGCTTAGAACGAAAGAGTTGAGTTACGTGAAGCCAGCCAAACTGGACATTTATCTGAGCTATACAGAACATGTATTTTACCTTACTGAAAGGATACGATAGGGGGAGGAAAACCACAATAAGCAATCGTACCAAGTGAGTCATTTTCGCACCCAGATGTAGTCCATATCGAGAACATACAGCTTGAGGAATGACCTAAGAGAAAAAAAGCGAAGGATAAATGATCATAAGACAACGATAATGTATTATCAACATCTAAAGTGCATCAGGCTGGGACAAAAATCAAAGTGAATGGCTTAAAACAAAAACTTTACCTCCGCAAATGCGAGTACAAGGGTGACTGACACAAGAATCGCAGCCCAAAAGGGAAGAAGCGACTCCAGGAAAATGGGAAGCGCCTTATAGAACAATACATTAGTCAATAGGCCAATTAATTTAGTACTTCAGAACATAAAAACTAGCACAACTTACACATGTCGTAGCCGCTTACCTCCATTGCCAGCGATTTTCCTATGAGGAGAGTACATAAAAGTAGATGTTCATTCTTAACAAGCGGCAGAACCTTCGCTGCAAATATAATAAGCTGATTAAGCTAGCAATTAATATTCACAATGATGTAATTAATGAAATTCGGCGTAGCTAGCAACCTGCATCCTTCTGGTCTTGAGGCTGACCGGACTTAATGAGGACTTCGAGATCGACTTGGCTGAAGGAGAGGAGTCCTAAGGCAAGGCCTGATGCAATGCCGGCAAATGCCACAAGGACCACACATATGACTATGAACACCCAGAAATCGGTCTCACAACACAGTATGTCGTGGTCTCTCATGGTGGTATAGTTGGTACTAATATTGCAACAATGAACTACAATGTATTGATCAAACAGAAGGGTTGGCTTTATGCACTTTCGCTTGAACAAACACGCGAAGGATTATCTTTCGTATCGATCACAACAAACAAAACAACGAAACAAATAGTGTCAAGTGTTGTGAATTTTGGACAAAGACAATCAGAGCACGTAGGAGATGTGAATATATATATAGGTACAGTCTTCTCACCAAATCCAAGTCCCTGATAAAAAAAAAAAAGATAATTAATCTGATAATTAAAAACCAAGAAAGTTGGAAAAAAACTGGTAATATCCAATTTTAATACTAAAAAACGAAACCTAAGGCATCAAAACCTCCATTGGATTGTGACAGTTGGAAAGTTAATTACTAAAGCATGCATGTATGGAATGGACGTACGTAAGTTAACAAGGGAAGCTCGTATCCGGTGCTCAACTCATCCGGTCTCAGCTTATCCGGTACTCAACTCCAATACATATACATAAATCCAATCACCAAAAGAGACTCCTTTTGATTCTATTTGTTGAGCACCAAAACCCAAGATTCCAACTCTCATAGAAGCATGCGTTCATATGGTTAGTTGGAAAACTTGTGAAGCAATGACGGGATTGTTCATATCGCAACTCTCATGGAAGCACGCGTCTCTCTAGCTGTAAGTATTCATAGAGAGTAACAACTCCATTAATCAATGTCAGTACATATGTTTAATACCAAACAGTTGAAACCAATAAGTATTCATAGAAATTGACAACTTGGTGAATCAAAGAACCAAAATGTTTGTGTGTCGGTTAACAACTACAAAAAATTAATTGGCATACTACATATCCTGCTGGTGGAAATCAAAGAGATGAAAAATAGCTTACGGTACCTCAAGGAAATAACAACTCCATTAATCGTCACTCAGGTAGCAATTTCCACAGAATTGACCAACTCGGTGATCCAAATCAAACGACCAAACCAACATCTAGAGCAACATTACAAAACATATCAGTCTCAGCCCTTATCATCCGATAAGTGCATTCACATATTTAAACAGCTTATAAACAACTTGAAGTTACAAAATAAGTAGGCACAATCCAAATTGGAGGCTGAATGCTTTTCTGCATTAAGATCACAGCAAGCTTCGACTTTTGAGGTAAAACACACCAAAATCATCGATAAGTTTTTCAATGTGCCGGGAACACACCTTCATACACTAAGTGTTATAATGCTATTAGTTGGAAAGCTTTTATTTGTTCAAATTTCCAACCAATTGTATTATAATACTTAATGTACCAAGCTGTGTTCTTGACAAATTGAAAAACTTTTAAAATCATGAGTTCCAAGGCCACTGATTCCAATTGGTCTTATTATACTCCAATCGAAATGTCGAAGTTGACGTGCAAATGCACGCTGGGCTTCAGATGTCAAAATTGACGCCATGAAGCATAGGCATCAAATCAGTTTTTTGTTTTTTTTCATAAATATTCAACTTGCCTCCTCACATTAAATGAATATTATATTCAAGTGTTTTTTTTTTTAACCAGTAGCTACACAACTTTTATTATTTTTATTTGAAAAAACACATAAATGAAGCAATAAATCTTGACATATTGGGTGGAAGCAAGATATTGACATTCTATTAAATTGTCAAATCAGCCATCAAATTGAAATTTAATATTTTAAATTTGATGTTTTCTTTGAAGATGGTCCAATCAAACACCCTTTGAAGATGCTCCAATCAAACACACTAAATATTTCCAATGTTAACTAATCATGTACGAATCAATTTCTACCAGCTTCCACGGAATACAGCTTGGTGAATCAAATTAAACCACAGAACTCCATGTCACATAAAATGAAATACCAAATCATTTTAAGTTATATGTTTAAAATATGCTAAATATCTTAATTTAACAACTTGATGTTACAAAGTGAGTATTTTCATTGAAATTAACAAATAATCAGTATTTTAGCCAATTTTCCTAAATTTTTTAGAGAAATTAACTGTGACATCCCACATCGCCTAGGGGAGTGATACTCATATGTATATTCTCATCCCTACCTAGCACGAGGCCTTTTGGGAGCTCACTGGCTTCGGGTTCCATGGGAACTCCGAAGTTAAGCGATTAGTGCGCGAGAGCATTCCCAGGATGGGTGACCCATCGGTAAGTTCTCGTGTGAGTTCCCAAAAACAAAGCCGTGAGGGTGTGGTTTGGGCCCAAAGCAGACAATATCGTGCTACGGTGGTGGAACGGGCCAGGGAAGTGGTTCCCCCCCGGGCCGGGATGTGACAATTTGGTATCAGAGCCTAACCCTGGCCGCATGTGTGCCGACGAGGATGTCGGGCCCCTAAGGGGGGTGGATTGTGACATCCCACATCGCCCAGGGGAGTGATCCTTATATGTATATTCCCATCCTTACCTAGCACGAGGCCTTTTGGGAGCTCACTGGCTTCGGGTTCTATGGGAACTCTGAAGTTAAGCGAGTAGCGCGCGAGAGCATTCCCAAGATGGGTGACCCATCGGGAAGTTCTCGTGTGAGTTCCTAAAAACAAAACCGTGAAGGCGTGGTTGGGGCCCAAAGTGGACAATATCGTGCTACGGTGGTGGAGTGGGGCAGGGAAGTGGTTCCCCTGAGGCCGGGATGTGACACTAACTGAACCCATAATTTTGTTCTAAATTGCAAAATTGTTGTCTGCTAGTCACCAATGGCCTTGAGTCTTTTGTTTTGTAGTCATTAGATTGACCAATTAAAGTAAAATTAATGGTTAGAATTAACATAAGGTGTGGAAAAAATAAAAAGTTGTGTGGCGAAATCACTACCCCTTAGTAATCCCTCGCAAATTAGGATTTAAGAGGATTATTGAGATTTGTATGGAAATGACGATTAGCTGGAAGCCTCCATCCATCAAGCATAGGGAACATTTGTAGGGAATTAAACATCAAATATTATATGGATTTTCTTGTTTCTATTGATTTCTACAGATTTCGAAACGTTTCTAGATACATTGACAACACGACCATTAAGTGCTTTCAGAAAACCTATTACATATTATACTAATGAGTTTTCATAAACTTTGGGGGTTAGTACATTAAAGATTAACTGTTTTAGTATTACTTATATATCAACTTAGTCCACTCACCTTTTTTGTTTTGCGCCCCTTCAGGACTTAGAATTGAGGTGTACAATCCTAGCATCAAGGCACTTCGCATCGGCATCTTCGAGTCTTCTTGGTGTAGGACCCATTCCTTTGTTCATTCAATTTTATATTATTTCTTTTTAGTGTTCTAGATTAGTTGTATGCTCTGAACACGTTCCTCATTTGTATATTAATTATATTTAAATTTATAAGTCTTATTTATATTCATTGGTTCTCATGCATATTAGTGTGGCTTCATCACCTTAGGGTATTGGCCAGCACATGCTTACTCTGATGTTTGGAGGATATCGGGATCAGGCGTGTCACTAAATATTTTTAATGTTTACTAATCATGTATGAATCAATTTCTACGAAATATAACTTGGTGAATCAAATTAAATCACAAAACTCCGCCGTCACCTAAAATGAAATACCAAATCTAAAATGTTAAGTTATATGTTTAAAACGTACTAAATATCTTAATTAAACAACTTGAAGTTACAAAGAAATTAACAAACCATTAGTATTTTGGCCAATTTCCCTAAAGATATTTAGAGAAACTAACCGAACCCATAATTTCGTTCTAGATTGCAAAATTGTTGTGTGCTGGTTACTAAAGGCCTTGAGTCTTTTGTTTCATAGCTGTTATATTAAACAATTAAAGTAAAATTAATAGTCAAAATTAATAGAATGTGTGCAAAAAGTAAAAAATGGTGTGTTGAAATAGCTAATCCTTCACAAAATAGGATTTAAGATGATTATTGAAATTTGTAGGGAAATAGCGATTAGATTGGAAGCTTCCATCCAACAAGCATAGGGAACATTTGTAGGTAATTAATATCAAATAATATGGATATTTTTTTGTTTCTCTCGACTTCTATAAAGATTTATGATTAATTTTGATAAGCTAAAATGGCTTCTCTAACGAAACACGCAGTACTCGTTTACCGACTCCAAAATGTTTCTGAATACATTTGACAAAACAACAAATAAGTGCATTTACATTTAAGAAGCGGTTTCTTTAAAAAAAACATATATAATACTCATTTGAAAATGTTTTTAAAGTAATTAAAAACACTTTTAGTTTTAACAAAAAAAATTAAACGATTTTTATGAAAATGTTTTTGGAACCAATTATTAAAAAATTGTAAATGAATCCTAGTTTAGCACTTGGAAGTACTTCTAACAAGATGCACCAGTTATGTGTAAGGATGGGCAAATACCCATTGGCTATGGGTAACCGCGGTTATCCGCCCATTTAAATTTGACGGTTACAGTTATGGTTAACCGTTTAGATAAATAAACGGTTATGGGTATAACCGTTTACCCATGAAATTTAAATGGGCGGTTATGGGTATTATCCGCGGTTATAAACGGATACCCATTTAACCGTTTATTTTAATATATGTAAAACTAAAAAAAAAAAAAAAATTAGTTTCTTAACTAGGTTTAGTATCCCGAGATATATTTAGTTATAAAAGGTCATATATATATATATATTTATTTATGTCTCACTTGAGAGAAAAATATAGTTGATAGAATGGGCTAATGTTTAATATATGTGACTGAATGTGCTAAAGTATTAGAGTGTTTGACAATTTTGTTTTGGAGTCTTTTGGAGCTTTGACCAATTCAAGATAATGATTACCTTGAGCATTTGGAAACATGTTATTATCAAATGATGCATACCTATATATATTATCAGAGTTGTTAGAGATTGAAGTGAAACGGGAGCCATGTATCATTCTATTTATTTTCTTCACTAGTATCAGATAATATAAATGAACGTAGAGAGGTACAAATGAGGAAAACATGATTATTACTTTCTGCTTTTCATCTTTTTGTACTACTCATACGATACAAGCATACGTATCTTTTAATGCATGTAAAAGGCTTACACACCAAAACAATAAAAACCAAACTTCTACTATTTAAGCAATATAATTTTGACTTCTATTCTTCCACTTTCCACCTTTAGCTGTCACATCCCAACCCTCAGCTCCAACTATATTGTCCGCTTTGGCATTCCCTGCCCGAAGACAGAGCTACCGCACGGTTTTGTTTCTGTGGACCGGTACTCAGCCGTAGCCAGCGCCTGCCCTCC